TTGTTAGGGAAAATCCCTAGCCTCCAGCAGGGGCTGAGGCAGGGGGAAGCAGAGGCCAGCTGGGGAGAGCAGGGATTGGGGGAGTGTTGGAGTGTTTGGGAGCGGGTTAGGGGGACAGTACATACTGGCTTCTCAGACTTGATAGTGACAGCCTTGGCTAGAAAAGAGGAATTCCCCTCCTCCAGTCTGGCAGGGCCTGAGTTTGGCTGAGTAGGGAAGGGTAGGGCAACACTTCTCCTCCAGGGCTTTATCAAAATTCAATTGCAGTCAATACTTAATCTGATAGAGCCCAGAAGGGATGTTTAGGCCATGACACCGGAAATTCAGACTCAGTTAATCTGGTGTTTGCGGGGGTGGCGGTGGGGGTGGGGTGAGTGTAGTGGGGACTTGTCCAAGACCAGAAATTAATTTTTTTGTGTGTGTGTGCAGCTAGCCAGTACAGGGATTGAACCCTAGACCTTGGTGTTATCAGGACCACACTCCAACCAACTGAACAACCTCTACAAGATCAGAAATTAAAAATTTTAACAAGCCCTCTAACGATTCTGGTGCAAGGCTGTGGGAAGTTGAGGGGTGTTTTTAAAATCATAGTTGGAGGGCCCAGCCTGTGGCGCACTCGGGAGGGTGCAGCGCTGGGAGCGCGGTAGTGCTCCCGCCGCGGGTTCGGATCCTATATAGGGATGACCGGTGCGCTCACTGGCTGAGCACAGTGCGGCCGGTCTCAAAAAGGACAAAAAAAAAAATTATAGTTGGAGAAATACTGCCTAAGGGGAACTCCATCTAATTCTCTCCGCAGATGTCACCTGGTAAACCAAGAAGCAGATCTTCCTCAAACCTGACCTAAGTCCTTTCTGCTGCCACTGTGATCATCACACCCTGCCTGCCTTTTTTGGTCAGAAATAAAGTGTTCCTAAACTTTAAAAAATTTCTGCTGCTGGATATAGGCCAGTAAAAATAAATCACCCAAGGGGCTAAATAAAGTTTGAACCCGTCATCATTTCTACTTTTTTCTACTCTGAACCATGTTGTCTTCTCCCAGCGTAAACTCTGAATTCAGAGGAACTATTGGGTCACCCATGCAAGGGAAGACATTTAATTGTCCCCATGAGACAGGACTGTCATTCTCTTATATATTCAAAAGTATTTATACAAAGTTGGCAAGTATGTGGAACAACTGAAACTCTCATAAACTATTGGTGGGAATGTTAAATGGTGCAATCACTGTGGAAAACAGTTTGGTAGTTTCTTGTAAAATTAAAACATAGACTTACCATGAGAAACAGCAATTCCACTTACCTGTATTTATCTGAGAGAAATAAAATCATGTCCCCCCAAAAGCTTGTACAAGAATGTTCATTGCTACTTTATCTATATTAGCCAAAAGCTGTAATCAGTTCTAATGTTGGTCAAGATAAATTGTGGTGTATTCATATGATGGGACACTACTTGGAAATAAAAAGCAGTAAACTATTGATATGATTAACAGCATGAATGAACCTCAAAAACATTATGCTGAATGAAAGATATTTTATACAGAAAAGGACACACTGTATGGTTCCATTTATATGAAACCCTAGGAGAGACAAATTTCTATTACTACAGTAATAGAAAGTAGACTAATGGCTGACAGGGTTGGGCGAGGAATCAGGGATTGACAGGGGAAGAGTGACAGAAATATTCTGTATCTTGACCGTAGTGATGGTTACATATGTCAAAATGCACTGCACTATGCACTTAATATGGCTGCTTTTATTGTGTGTAAATTATGCCTCCAAAACATTGAAAAAATGGGGTAAAAAAGAAAAAAAAATGTATGTATGCCATAGATCATTCAAACATAAGGCACACAAAATAGTCAGCAAGGACTAAAAACCCAACTTATAACTCTCTCATCAACACATTGTGCGCGAGGAGACGTAGATTCTTCCCCAAGTTAGGAGCACAGGGAAAAATATGAATTTTTTTTCCTGCCTACAAAAATAACCTCCTTGCAAAATTATAAGTGGAAGTTCCTTTAAAACTCAAACTTCCAAGGGCCACCACTGTTTATTTCTAAGCTTATCCTAACATTTATTATTAGATCATAATAAAATAAAAATAATAAAAATAATCATTTAATAATAAATAAATATTATTTATTAATAATGTATTTACAAATATAGAATTCTATTTATATATTTGGTATTCAACTTTCTTTTTCAGAAAACAATATATTTTGCATATCTTTCCATGCTTCATTCTTTTTACTTTTTGTAAGTTTCCATTGAACCATAATTTATTTAACTGGTCCCATTCTGGGGGACAATTTATTACTATTTTTCATCCCTGAAACAATAATAGACATTCTTATAACTATGCAGGAAGATTATTCCTATAGAATGGATTCCTGGATGTTTCTTTGGTTAGGTTGCTTGGTCAAAAGACATACATAGTTTTAGGGAGGATGGAGGGGGAATTGTTCCCTTTCTGTGACTATGAATGCAGAACATGTAGTTAGAGGAGAGAGGATATGTTCTCAAGGATTCAGGTCTTTATAATGCTTTTTAAATTAGTCAAGATTATTAATAAAGAGACACAAAACCCAACTCTGGCTGATTTAGCAAAACTGGGTTTTTGTTGAAAGGATGTTGTATAGCTCACAGAATTGCTGGTAAGTTTTTTTTTTTGTAAGATGAATGACTTTTGTGAGCCAGACTGAGACTTGAATCATCACAACACTGCCTCTATGGGGAAATCTGCTTCAAAGTTCAGAAACCGGTTGCAAATAATATAAATTCCCTGTGGGCATGGATTACCCCTAATTCATTGTTGTGACCCAAGACTTTTGTGGACCTTGACTGTAGATTGAATGTCCTCATAGTCTTACTGGGCTTCCCCACTAAAGCATATATCACACTCAAAGTCATTGCCATTGAGCTCATCTTGCTGATAAGCTCTGGGAAGGCAGGATCTTGTCCTTTTGTTTGCCATCAAAGCTCCAGAATCTTATCTAGGGCCTGTCATGTAGGGTGTGCTGTGTACATTTGCTGAGTAAATCAATGAGGTTGGTATTGGAGTTGTCTGTACTTCAGATATCAATTATGCTGGATTTGAAAATATCAGTTTATAACTAAAATGTCTATCAATAGGGAACTAGTTGTCTAAATCATGGCACATCCATACAATGGAATACTATTGAAAAAGAGTGAAGACTCTCTGTATAGATATTTTTACGTTTTGCTGATAGTGGATAACTTTCCATGACAGTACTAATAAGCAAGGCAAGGTGCAGAAAAATATTGAATGGTATATTTTCTTGGTGTAAATATATAAAAAGAAACATATGATCCTATATACATATGTGTATATTTCACTTAGTTGCTTATTTTCTGGGACAAATCAAAAGAAACTTTAATAATAATTATCTTTGGTGAAAAGGACTGTGGGAATGGGGAGGGAAGCTTTTACTTATCTCTTTTTACTACAGTACTTATGCCTACCATTTTAATTTGTTAACCTTAAGCATTACTTCAAAAAAATAGTCATCTGTGGTAATCTAAGTAATCAAAGTAAGAACTAATTTTTGCTCTTTATATACTTCTTCAAAATCCAAAATAAAGAATGATGGAGGATTTCCATTTCATTTTATTTATTTATTTTTTCCTTTAAATTTTTATTTTGTCAATATACAATGTGGTTGATTATTATGGCCCATTACCGAAACCTCCCTCCCTACCATTTCATTTTATTTGGATGTCAATTCACTTCATACACTACTTGGGCCTTTTTTCAGGTACAATTGACTAGTAGGAAATCATCTTTCTAATTTAATGTAACTGTGTTGGGTGTGGACCAAAAGCCATTGTAATGATAATATCAAATCTTTGGATAGAGCTTTTCCTAAACAGTCTTCTTGTGAGCAATAACCCCTCCCTGGGAGGTAATTAGAGAGTATACTGTCACTATTTCTTCTTTTTTTGAGGAATCCTTTTTTAAAAAATGTAATAATTCAAACGTACAGAAAACACAGACTTTTCCCCCTCAATGTTCAATTAAATTTACTTTTCTTTTTCTAAATACAAGAAAAATATAATGTAGAAATTCAACATGAGCATGTAATCATTGTACAGAGATATTTTACACACAGAAAAGCTCCTCCTAAAGAAGTAGTTAGGAAAGGGATAATTGCTATTTTTTCCTTTTAAATTATGAAATATTTCAAATACATAGAAAAATAGAAAAATCAAAACTGGTATTTTTATGATTTATACATTTTTGTTGTTGTCTTCTCTATTTCTGGACTATGAGTTGGGACGTTTTTCTGTTTTATTTTATTATTTTTTTTCTTTTTTAGCAGCTGGCCGATACGGGGATCTGAACCCTTCTATTTTAATCTTCTATTTTCTTTTTTAAAACTTTTTGCGGCTGGTTAATATGGAGACCCAAGCCTGTGACCTTGGTGTTACCAGCACCACGCTCTCCCAAGTGAGGTAACCGGCCAGCCACCTCCAACCCCACTTCCATTTTATTCTTCCTTGTCTAATTACAAGAGAAATTCAATGTAAAAACATTAAAAACATTGAAAAGCATATGAAGACAAAGATCCCTCATGTTACACCACAATCTTGTCTATCCAGTCTTCATTTCTTATATATAATTTCTTTCTTTCTTTTTTTCTCCCTGAATCTTTTTAATGACTGCATTTTTTGGTAATTTTAGGCATATTAGTAATGCTTGCACAGTATTATTCATGTAAATATTATTAGCATGGGTCGGGCGCAGTCGGTAGACCCAGCACCAGGCTCACAGCTGAGCTCTCAGCCTCTCATTCCAGACGTGCAAGGGCTGGGACTTCGAAGGACACGCCCCCATGGAGCTCCGAGGGGCCAGTCGGCATGCAGAAGGCGTGGCCCTGGGAACGACAACGGTTCTATCCAATGGGCCGACAGCCAGGGCTGCCCCGACCAATGGGCGGCGAGCTCTTCTGCGACGGTTGGAAGTGGTGAGGCTGCGCTGCGGGCTGTTGTTCAGTGCGGGGCTTGATTGAGGAGACTTAGTGTCTGTGGCCATCGGGTCGGCTCGACGTGCCTCTCGTCCCAGGTGAGATATGGCGGCAGCCCGCGCCTGGGGAGCCCCTTGCGGCCTCCAATTCGAGAGGAGGCCGGCATCCTCAGGGCGGGGTATGTGGGCGACGGGGGTCTAGGCCCGGCGGTCGCGGCGGTGAGAAGATGTCCACTCTGTGGCGTCTCCTCAGGCGGCTAGAGGAAGCTGCGCTTTCTCGTCAGGGAACCGAAGCCTCGGCAGACACTGGCGGCGCCGCCGCCTTCGCGGCCTTGGCCGGTGTGCTGGGAAGCGGGCGTCGTCCGCAGCGCTGCTCGGGCCACCACGCCCCGGGCGGAGCTGGGCCCGGCGCCGGCGTGGGCTCGGAGCCCAAGCCTCCAGCTGCCGGTGCGGGGGATCGCGGTTGGCCTTGTGCGGCTACTAGGCCAACAGACCCGGGTTCGAGCCCCGACTCTGACCAGCTAGTAGGCGGGTCACTGTCTCTCTGGACTTCCGCTTTCGCATTCTCTAAAATGGGGATGATGACTTTCACCTCATAGGATTGTGGTCAGGATTAAAAGATTGTCCGTGTAAGCGTTTAGCAATGAACAAACGCACAGTAAATGTAAATTATTATGTGCGAAGCTGGTGCCTTCTCCCCTCCCCGACCTCGCTGGAGGAGGGGGCGTTTGGAAACCGTCTCCGACTCCGCGGTGGTAACTCCGCCCCCTTGGCCAGAGGAACGGTTCCCTCTGGAGACCAGAGAGATCTGGCCAACCCCTAATGGGCCACTTCTAAGGTTGAAGGCTTTTTCTGTGCCAAAGCCCTTCCGTGCATTCTCCCATTTCTCACAACGGCCGTTTGAAGGATTGTCAGTGGTGCGCCTGAGAAATCAGGCCTAGAGAGGTTAAATCACACGTGTACTGAAAGGCAGAACCAGAACTTGAACCCCAGAGGACTCCAAACACTACATGCCACCCCTGTTCCCTTGTACCTGGAAAACTGGCACTCTCCTCATCCGAGGCTCTGGCCTTCGTTTAGCGTTGGCCATTTAGTGGGCTGGAGTAGAGCACACTTAGAATCAATCGGACAGCCATAGGAAAAGTAGCGTTGCACCGGTCATGCACGGAAACCATCTGGTTCCCCCTTCAAGGAACGCGATTTGTTTTCTTTTTTTTTTTTTTTTTTTTTTTTTTTTTTTTTTTTT